AACCTCATTTTCTCTATTAGACCTGCAGTTTCTGACAGTCCTCTCCAACATTACATATATTGAACATTATGTGGAACCCTTTGGTAATGTCAAGGGCCACATTTGTGGCCCCCTTTAGCTCATACGTTGACAACCACTATGTTAAATGCTAAAGTACTGTTGGATGGCGACCATGTGGAAAACACTGTTCTGCACAGGCTGAGCCTTTGAAAAACAGGATGAATAGCAAGTTTTGGGGTCTACATGTTAACGTGCTTTTTGATGAGGAGGACTGAGACTGCCTGATATAATAAAAATAAAAAATACAGTCACCTCTAAGGAGGAATTTCACTTGGGTGTGAAAATGAAAGGTGTTCTGTGGTAATAGCATGACTATTGAGCCCTGGTGCTCAACCTGCAGTCCTTTGGTATACGATATACAGCCCTCGGACCTCAGTAGTCTCTGGTGGGAACATTGCTTAGGTAATAGCATTGATCTCTACTAGCCCCATGCAGCATTTTCCCAGTTTCCTATTGTCTTCTGCTGCATATTTCCAGCCACAAATGTAGCATGTCCACAATATCTGACCTCATTTTCTCTATTAGGCCTGCAGTTTCTGAGTCCTCTTCAACATTACATATATTGAACATTATGTGGAACCCTTTGGTAATGTCAAGGGCCACATTTGAGGCCCCCTTTAGCTTATAAGTTAACAACCACTTTGTTAAATGCTAAAGTACTATTGGATGGTGACCATGTGGAAAACACTGTTCTGCACAGGCTGAGGCTTTGAAAAACAGGATGAATAGGAAGTTTTGGGGTCTACATACCAATGGGCTTTTTGATGACGAGGATTGAGAATGCCCAGTATGATAAAAAATAAAATAACAGTCACCACTAACAAGGAACGTCACTTGTGGGAAAATGAAAGGAGTTCTGTGGTCACAGGATGACTATAGAAGGACAGGCAGGGGAGACGTCATCCTTGCCCTGGTGAGGAATGGGGAAGTGGGTAACGTAAAAAAGAACTCGCCCTCCTCTCAAAAAACAAAAGCTGAAATTTCGTGACAGGCTGAGGGGAGGAAGACTATGGGGGTAACTTTCAAATGTAGGTGAAGGCCCCTCTAAGCCTTTTCAGCAGAACATATAGAAAGATATCTGAACAAAGCTGACTAGCCTCTATAACTTTCCCCGTGTACAGCACGACATTGTTTTCATATTTCCAACACTCCAATTGCCTCCATTCCCTGCCTTCAGTTCACCTCATAACAAGCACATCTTATTTATGTGTTATGTGATATTATACAGCTTTTCTTGGGGGATATGACTGGTTCTATCCAGACAAAGGCTGCTGGACTTCGAACCCCTCGCCTCTCCCCTCGATAGGCGGATATTGCAATATCTGGGTAAGTTTCTGTGCGGCGTGACGACATTGTTTTCCTTTCCCAGCCTCCCCCGCACACAAAAACAAGAGGCAACGGATGGAAACAGGGGGCGTGGCCACGCGAGCAGAAGTCCGAGTCCGCACTGCAACAGGCGCCCGTCACGGAACTAGCACTCCCATTGGCTGTCGGTGAGGCGAGCTCTTTGTCATTGGCGCTGAGGCAGCGAGGGCGGAGTGAGCGTTCTGTTTTTTTGGCTGAGTTGGGAAGGTCGAGCTGCGAGTTGCGTGTTGGACGCTGAGGAGAGCAGTGAGGAGGAAGTGAAACACCGGAGGAGGCTTTTATGACCAGACACCTATTTGGGTGAATTATTGAACGGTCACCACTGTCGTGTGGGAGACAACGAGGAGCCAGCTTTGAAGTCTTGGTAAGTTCTGATGTGGCTGCTGACGGGTTCGGACCCGCCTCTCCAGGCGCCATGTTGTCCCTTCTTCTCTGCTCGGTTCTTTGTTCGCTTCTTTTGTCTTTATTGGACTTCTCTGTACCTAGAATTGGTTCGAACACTTCACATTTGCTCTTCGTGATTAGTTGATGGATTTCAGGATCAGTTCCCGGCGTTTCTGACAATGTCTTGTGGTTTCGCTGTTACTTTAACCGCCCCTTCCCCCTCCCCATCTGTCTATTATTGTTTATCAACAATCGCTGCCCTGGATGGAGCTCTCCTGCTCTGATCCTCACATCCACGCTGATCATTCCTGACATGGCATGTAACAGGCACATCCTTCCTTAACGGCCATCCTTTTATTTTGTTTACATTGTTTCTTAGATTAGACGAGACTTTAGATGTGAGTGAATGTGCTTTCTTGGTACAGTACACAGATCACTTGTTTTTATTTCCTTCCATAGCCTTGATCTGCCCCTAGTATTGTATTGGGAAGGTACTATTGCTTTTCACACAAAGGCAATTGTCCTTTTTCAGATCGAAGTGTGGGCACTATTGAACTGTTCCTGATTTTGATTTGCTCTCCTGTCATTCTGCACTCACATTGGGCTACAGCAAGTGTCCCAGTCACAATTTACATCACCTATGCCAACCAGATCCGAGAGATCCCTGCTTCTGTGCTCAGTCATCTATAGAGATTTGTGTGATCAGGCCCAGTTTGTGCTCACAGGGATAACAAACGCTACTAGATCACACATGAACTGTTCCAGGGCTCACCTCTTCCAAGTGGTCCCAGCCACAGTTCACTTGGTGGCACCCTGGCACAGTTCACTTGGTGGCACCCTGGCACAGTTCACTTGGTGGCACCCTGGCACAGTTTAGCACACTTGCTACACAAACGAACTTGACCAAGGCGATGATCCATGCCTGGGTTTATTTTGTTTTTTAAATATATTACAGGTACTTGTATAGAGCCATCAGTTTACACAGTACTTTACATTTATATTGTACATTCACATCAGTCACTAGCCCTTAAGGAGCTTACACTCTAAGCCCTGGTTCACACTGGATGTGACTTGCATGCCCTGCGACTTGCAAATTGTATGCTAAGTCTGCCCTATTGTCTGTAATTGGTGCGGTTCCGACTTGGTTGGAGCTGCACTGATTTCAAAAGCAGTACATGCACTACTTTTGGTGCGATATGCATAGACATCTCTATCAGATGTCTTGTAACTCACACCTGAAATCGGCGAGTCCCCCTACTTTGAAATCGGGCTTGATGTGAATGGAGGGTAAGGTCCCTAGCTCCTATTCATACATACACATACTAGGGCCGATTAACCTACCAGCATGTCTTTGGAGTTTGGGAGTTCAGTTAAAGCTGCTATTGTGAATGCAGCCTGATCAACTAGCTGAAAATAACTTCCTGGTGTGTTGGCTTTACTTTCTGACTGTTGCCCTGTATTATTGTTGGGGGGGGGGGACCATTATACATTTTGGTGTATTATTGTTTAACCTGGTAATCTAACAAGAGTCTTTAAGCTGGTTGAATGAAATGGGGGAAACTTATTTTTTTTGGGGAGGGTTCTTAATGTAGGTATTTCTTATATGGTGCTGAGTAAGGATCTGTTAAATCTGTGTAATGACTGTTGTTCAGTAAGAGTTATTGTAGATGTGAAGGGTCATGTGACTGTAGCTATATTTTTAATTGGAATCCCTCTAAATCCACTAAGTTTACATGAAGCTTTTTATTATTTTCCTTCGTCTTTGTTTACTCCGTGTTGCAATAAGTGCTTCCTGCTGGCCACACTTTGTACTGCTGATCTGTTTGGCTTTTCCTGTGCACGTACGCTGTCTGTTACTCCTCCTTTTCGCTCACCAGACCCCTCCTCTTATTTCATTTGTTTTTTTCCCTAACAGCTGTGCAGACTTCACTCGGCACCATCCCCTGCTGCCTAGAGCCCAGGGGATTCATGTTGGATTTGGACTGTTACTTGCTCATGCAAACACACTTTGACAAGCTAAGGCGAGGATCACAGAGGACAGTAGGAACCTTGTTGCATCTGAGATCTGGAAAGGGTGTGGAGGCGTTTGAAGGATCAGCTGGAAGGTAATTTCCTTTTTTTTTTTTTTTTTTTTTTTTTTTTTTTCTCCCAACCATGTGTTATTGTATTGAAAACGAACAACGGACTTCTTTTGGTCTACCAAATACAGCAAAAAGTCTTTTGTTACTTGTTCAGTGTCCTGTGTACAAGGATATGTTTATGAGATGAGAAGTGTGTGGTGTTGGAACTTCATCAGAAATGAGGTAGGCAGGGCTGACCATATGTTCTTTGGAATACAGAAACCGAAATACTGTTATGTCAGGAAGTTGGGAGAACACTAAATCAGCAGCACTTGTTCTGTACTTGCACGCTGCATAAATGCTAAATCATGGGGAAATAGAAGTGTTTCTAGAGGTGCTGTGTGTTTTTTTTTTTTTTTTTTTTTTTTTTTTTTTTTTTTAAATTTCCCCTTGACACGCACTGTAATTATGGCTAACCATTGTTTGTCTTTTCCGGTTAAATAGCCAACTTGTACAGTTTATGTATTAGAGAATGTTACACTTCTAGTATAAGTATGAAGAGACGTGTTCTGTTTTCACAACACACTCTACGGTTATTAGAGTAATGTCCTCACCTGCTTCAAGCATGCTTACATGGGGGAGAGCAGAAGCATGACCTCAACAATATGCTTTTTGTTAATGGCCAATTGGTGTTTAGGGGGAGCACCGACGTGGCAAATATTATTTATTATTATACAGTATTTATAAAGCGCCAATATAGTTGCTCAGCGCTGTACATTACAAAGGGGGACAGAACATGTGACAGAACAATACCAATACAATGCAAAACATGAGGGGATTGAGGGCCCTGCTCTTTCGAGCTTACAATCTAGGAGGGAGGGATATGTATTGATTATCTGCTGAGAACAGCAAGCTTACTCTCCTGGGTGTGTCTCCAAGAAGTGCTGGACAAAATAACACACTTTGACAGGCAGAACAGTCCTCATGTAATGTGTATTACAGCTACATGTCTTTGCCATTTTTTAGGTGTAAACTGAATTTTCAGTAACTGGATGTGCAGAATTGACATGGTTAAATTTTTTTTTTTTTTTTTTTTTTTTCCCCCCATTTAAGGTGACACAAAGTTTGAAGATGGGAGGAGGTGAAAGATTTAACATTCCTATTCAACAGCATAGGCATAGTCTCGGCAAGCAGAACAACCGGCAAAAATTAGAGCGGAACAATCAGAAGATGAATACTTCTCATGGAAAAGATAGAGGTCGTGGTCCATCTGGCTTAGTATGGCAGGCCATGCAAAACAGAGCAAATAATAATCGTTCCTCAAACCAGAACTGGAATTCGGGTTTCCCTGGGCCAAAGAACCTCTTGAATTGTCAAGAAAACCAGAATTATGCCGGTGCCAAATTCAGTGAGCCACCATCACCAAGTGTTCTTCCAAAGCCACCAAGCCACTGGGTACATCTGTCCTGTAGTCCCGCCGAGAAAGAATTCATGTCTTTTCAACTCAAGACGCTGCTGAAGGTCCAAGCCTAAGCAGCCTGGACAAAATCGGCCAAGAAGTTACAATCCATTACAGAATTGCAAGTTGAAGACTGTCTTTTGTCTTTCGTTTCACTTCTTCAGCTATTTACCTACCATAAGGCACATAAACCAGTATGGAATGGATCCGTTCTGGCTAAAGTCACTCAGGAGCTAGACTGAACTTGTTAAGGAGAAACTTCTGTGAAGACTCCTGCATCTGAAGCACTTTTTCACAGCATAAATTGTGCGTATTGCACTGAATTTCCTTGTTTCCACCTCCTAACCAAATTAAGTATATACAATACTTTTTGCACTTGAAGTGAACTGGTGGGTGCAACTAAAGCTGGTTTGGAACAAGTAGCATTCTCCAGCTAGTCTTTACCTGTGCTTTACCTTTCTTGTATATTTTTAATTTGTTGCTTGTGCTGTGATAGCCCTTATATACATATCCTCTCACAGGGTGTGTGAATTTTGTCCCCCCCCTCTAGTTTTACCTGTCTTGAATTAGTCTAGCTGAACTGGGTTAGATGCTTTAGTCCTGTGTTTTGCCTATCTTCTTTAGTTGTAAACTAATTTTTGCATAGAGGTGATCCACCTTTCAAAACTGCTGCAGTTTTCTCCACCAATAGCAGGAGGATGGGTGTGCATAACCGAGACCGATCCTTCCTACACTGGTTTATTAGTTAAGTATATTACTTATATATAAATATTATGTGCCAACTAACACACTGCATGTTTGCACTGCCAGGGACTGCCAATATTTAAAGTAGGAAGTCTTTATTATGTGGCCTTTTTATATTATGTGCCCTCCCTCCCCCTTTTTTTTTTTTACCCCCACTCACGGGCAGTTTGGCCCATGAAGTGTAAAAATCAGGAGTTCTGGGTTGTGAGGAATGCAAAGGCACAGCATACATCTGACAGCAGCCTGTCACTCAAGAACAAGCTGAAATGTGGCATCTAGAAGCAGTTTTGTGCAGCACTTGTTTAGGGATGGATACCCTGAACACAATTCCTGTGTTTGGGGCATGGGTCCCAAGTGTATACAGCCCTAAACCACTATCACTCAACTGGCAAAAGGTTGTCAAATATTTTCACCTGTCTATATTTTAGGCAGCTGGCAGTAAGCTGTATGCTGTACCTGTGCCTCCCTTGTGCTTAGAAGCCTGTCTTTTACACTGTGAAGGCCAAAGCGCCTTTGTGCATGAGGCTTTATAGGTTGTTTAAAATGTTTTGCGCAACATTTCAGAAAGTGTATATAGTCTGAACCACTCTTAAATATAAGCTAATTTGCTGTATATAAAGAGCACCATATTTGTCAGAAGTGTAGCACTCTACTGTATATGAAGTCCACCTCCTGTCCTGTAGAAAAGGCCGTGTGTATATATTTTATATATTTTTTTTTTTTTAAAAAATTTTTTATTTTTTTTTATATTTTTTTTTTTTTTTTTTTTTACATGACTAAAGCAGACCTTGTGTCCAGCATGATAGATATAGATATATATTTCTATTTCTGGGAGTAAAGGAGAACTTTGCATATACCTCATGGGAAAAATCAAGTCTGGCCCCTCAGATTGTCTCTGTTTTTCAGTTCTCCTCTCTGAACTAAAGGGCACAGGTCATTCTGCAAATTTTTTTTTTTTTTATAGTTTTGTGAGAGTAGGCTGTCTAACAGACTGGGAATGTCTTACTCAGTCTGTTTCTGACATGTCTAACATTGTAGAGCAGGTCCCTAGCACTTCACTCTGGACTAGAGTGCATATCAAATCTTTTTGGCCTGCTTTAAAATCTTTTATACGAAGACTGTTGGCAGTGTCTGTCTTTTTTAGCATTGCTGCTGTATAGTGAGTGTATAGCTTTTAGCCTAAATGTCAGATGTACACTCTTCAACTTGCCACTCTGTAATTGTCTTTAGCCTCGTATGTGATAAATGGAACTTTTTGAAGTTCTGTAAATAACTGTAAAAGTTGTAGCATATGTAAATGAATGCAGGGAAATCCTGCACAGATAAAGTATTTTTTAGTACAAACTGCTGAATGTAGTCAGGCGCAAGCTGTGACTTCACATAATGAATATTTTGTTAAAGAAAACACATACGTGTGTATGAGTGTAGCCTTTGCACAAAGTGCCAGTATAAATATGTACACGTTCTCGTGTTCGCAGTTGTAACTGGTTCTGTAGTGGGATTGGTGCAAATGAAGCATTTAATGATTTTTATATATAAAAACTAAAAAAAAAAAAACAAAAAAAATACAGCTGCTAAAACCTGGTGACCACACATTGTTTTTGTATAAATAGATGTATTTTTTGATATTTTTAAGGCCTGAGCATGCCCACAGCTCAGTCTGATCGTGAAGATGTGTACTGTATTGGGCGTATGTAAATGAATTGTAGCTCAATTAGCATATAAGGAACTGTGTTGCACTGTACGGGCCTTCATTCCTTCAACTGTATTCCAAACCAATATTTAGGAGTACGCTAATTGCCATCCAAACATGAATAGACGTCTGTAAAGTGGAATAATCTTAAGCCCAATTGGACTGCGATAATTTTCTGACAACAGCCTTACCTCTCTCCCATCCTGGATTCCTGTTTTTTTTTTTTTTAAAGACTGGACATTCCTATATTCTTGTATAAAACAGGTTTCATTCTTCAAGTTTGTGCAATCTTACAAGTCTTCATACTCCTAAGTCAATGTCTGAAAGCTGCACTGTACATTTTGTCAGATGTTCTAATATGCATTTGTATCCACATCTGCGTTTACCTGAAATGTCTAAGATTATGCTAGATGGGCTTTTGTAACAAGTTTACACATGTGGGCAGCTGTGGAACCCTAATGTTAATGCTCTTTAATGGACTTTGTCCTAGAAAGTTTGAAAATGTACCTTGCACAGATATTTGAAAGCAGTATATGTTGCCAGTCTTCTGCATGACAAATTTTTTTTTTTTTTTTTTTCCTGGCAGCACAGTGTTCCAGATGGTATTTACGTAGCTATGGAAATTATCATAGGGAAGAAAATTTGGTACCAATATTTACTTTAATTGTGTGCTGGATTATTTTAACAATTAGGTCAAAATAAACTGTTTACTGCCCCAAGGTGCTTCATTACACCTTTTTTGTTTTACAACATGCTACTTTTATTCAAGAATGGCTACTTCTAAATGGCCTTAGTGCCTAAGCTATTTATTGAAACCTAAAAAATATACTGCTTTCTGGTCCACGTGAATGCACCCTTTAAGCTGCAAAGTGTTTATTTAATATTGACAATCTTTTTAGTCAAGTGGACGGCTGGCTGCTTGTTAGTAAGCAAGTAAGCTATGATAAATTTAGTACTTTTTTTGACTGATAAGGGTGTATCCGAAGAGCCCAAAATTTGTCCCCATGAGTATGTTTCATACAGTGTATCTGGAGGATTCATTTTAAAATTCAATGGCTGACCTCACACTAGGATATAAATTTTCATTTCTGTGCAAGCATTTCTTGAATACTGCTGTGCTGTATTCGTTTTGTGTTTAAATTGTATCAAAATTTAATGTGATTTGAATGTAAAATTCATCTATTTATACATCAAGAATGTGTCAGCAGCACTTGACAATACACAATCTGAAATTATGGAATTTCTAAACAATTGGCAGTGTTCTTAAATTTTTTTAAACTTTGTCCCCAAGGAAACGTTGTTCAAATGTGCCCCAAACAGAATTGGGTTAATTGAATATTTAGAAAAGATAAGTGTATTAATACACACAATTCGGAAAAAAAAAGTTGAAATAAAATTGAGTGACCCCCTAAATCTTGTCTTTTGTTTTATTTAATGATTATGTGTATAACATATTTATTTGTTTTTTTTTGTTTTTGTTTTTTTTTTTTTCCCCCACAAAATACTAACTTGGTTGATGTCCAGGTTTAGTCCTCATGAACAGTGGATGTTACAGCTGCTGGTTTTTTTTTTTTTCTTTCTTAAAGCTGTAAAAGTGCTCTATCGCTGAAACGCATTCAACCAGCATTTTTGGGCTAAATGCTAATGCAAAAAAAAAACAAAAAACAAACTTGAGTTACCGTGATTTTACATGGCTATCGCTACCAGTGTTATTAACACGCCCAGTGTGCATGGGGCCTTACTGTTCTTTTAAATAGTTTGGGCCAAGCTGGCCTAAATGGACTATTTCCTGCACTGGGTGTTTTTGTATTAACTGTATGTAGTCTTCACTACATACAGTACTGGGTTCCAGGTGTGGGACAAAACCTTTTTACATTTCACACCTGGAACAAAAGGAGCTGAGCAATGCTTGGCCATTCATAGTTTTTGTATTCTACCTATTAATGTATACAAAACTTCTAAATTCGAGTCGAGTGTTTATCAGCCTGCCTTTTCAATTTGGTCAGTCAGCAGAGGCTTTGTGTTCAGTGATGGAGTGCAAAGCTAATGAAGTAAGATATTAAATATGCAACTCTTACAAAAATTAACAAACCTCAATATGTAAGATCTATTCCTGCCTCTTAAAGCTACTTTTAAAAACCACCACTAATACTTATTAGTGTAATCTAAAGTGCAAAAAAAAAAAAAAAAGTCCATCTGGATATCTGAAATGATGTGGTGCTCCTGCTGTCCGTTTCCAGTTCCTTCAGTTCACCTTCACCAGATCAGCGAGATTGTGGCCAAACATTACAGACCCATATATGTTCTATATTACTCACCAAACCACTTGGCAGGATGTGGAAAATGATTTTTTGCCTTCCCCTGTGGATGCTATTGAGCAAAACACAACACATCAGCTTGGCTTGGATAGTGACATCCAGTTGTGGTCTGGAGCAGCCTGTGTACAGCTTGTTACATGCTTGACATTGGATACAATTTGTAAGTTTATTTTGATTTGCAATACGTTACATGGAATCATGCACTATGGGAGTTTTCTTTGCCTGATTGTGGCTTACAGTGCTGTGAAAGCCCCCTTCCTGACATTTTTTTTTTTTTTTTTTTGTTTTCCTTCATACTTGTCACACTTTGAATCACTGA